ATACGGGCCTCAAGAGTCCTTTTCTTAGGATATCTGCAGCTTGATCTGATGATGGAACATACATCAGATTTATAATTTTCTCATAAATCTTCTCCTTGATAAAATGTCTGTGAACCTTAACATGCTTAGTACGATCATGATGCACTGGATTGTGTGCAATAGCAATTTCAGCCTTGTTGTCACAATAGACTTCCATTGAACTATCAAACCTGATCTTGAGTTTTTGGAGAAGAAGTTTCATTCACATTATCTCACAAATACCATGAGATAATATCCTGAATTCAGCCTCAGCACTACTTCTTGCAACAACTGATTGTTTCTTTCTCCTCCATGTAACAAGATTATCCCATACGAAGGTACAATATCCTGTCGTAGATCTCATATCCTGAACAGAACATGCTCAATCAGCATCTGTAAACACCTTAATCTTTCTGTCATCATCATTTCCCAAAAATAATCCAAGTCCTGGAGTTCCTTTAAGATATCTAAGAATATGATACTTGGCTTCCATGTGTTTTTCAGTAGGAGCATGCATGTATTGACTTACAATACTCACTGGAAATGCAATATCTGGCCTAGTGTGGGATAAATAGATTAATCTTGCAACAAGGCGTTGATATCTCCCTTTATCAACCGGTACCCCGTCTAGACTCTCTCCCAACTTATGATTAAGACTTATTGGAGTATCAGATGGTTTACATCCAAGCATTCCGGTTTCCTTCGAGAGGTCTAGTACATATTTTCTTTGACATACAGATATACCAGTTCTGCTCCTTGCGACTTCCATCCCTAGAAAATACTGAAGTGCTCCCACATCCTTTATTTTGAATTCCTTTCCAAGTGCTTGTTTTAGTCTCTCTATTTCTTCATGATGGTCGCCTGTGATGATAATATCATCGACATAAACAATGAGGATGGTGATCTTACCTTGAGAGTGTCTATAGAACATTATACGGTCAGTTTGAGCTTGAGTATACCCTTGTTTACAAATAGCCTTTGGAAAACGCCTAAACAATGCACATGGGGATTGTTTTAAACTACAGAGGGATTTCTTCAACTTACACACCTTCCCATCATACTTATCAATGTCAAATCCAAGAGGAAGGTCCATGTCACCTCTTCTTCCAAATCTCTATTGAGGAATGCATTCTTGACATCCAGTTGTTGTAGTTTCCAATCCAAATTTGCAGCAAGAGTCAAGAGGACACGAATTGTGTTTAATTTTGCAACAGGTGCAAATGTCTCCTATTAGTCTACCCCAAAAGTCTGAGAGTATCCTTTGGCCACCAATCTTGCTTTATACCTTTCAATTGACCCATCAGCCTTATATTTGACAATAAAGATCGATCGGCATCCTACCTTTGGTTTATCTTGTGGACGATCAACTATTGTCCACGTATCATTAAGTTTCAAAGCCTTCATTTCATCATCTACTACATTTTTCCACTGTGAATTGCTCATAGCCTTTTGAATGGATTTTGGTACCTCATTTGCTTCCAGATTGAGAGCTAAGGTCTGAACTGCTGAAGATAAATTACTATAACTAACACATCGAGCAATTGGATGTTGAGTACACGATCTCACACCCTTCCTAAGTGCAATAGGGAGATCAAGATCATTAGTATTGTCTTGAGGCACAAAGGTAGATTGTTCAGTACCTAAGGACAAGATGGATTCATGACTTTGCTGTTGAGGCTGTGGTGGCTCCACTCCTCTTTGAACCGTTTGTCGTCGAGAATAAACAAGAGTCTCAGGTTGCTTGTCATTTCGATTTGGGTTGGCTTGATCATCTTCATTATACAGGAAATAATAGGAACCGACTCTTCTATCTAAGTAATTGGGACGATCGGGATAGGTATTTTTGGCTGAGGTGACTTGGTATTTAGACCATCAATCTCATGTATTTTAGACTGAGGGGACTCGATCCTGGTATTTAGATCGTCAATCTCTCAAAAACTTCCATCAAGATTACTTGCAATATGCTCAGTCTCCCCTAAGGGTAAGTTAAGGAGAAGAAAGACTGAGACTCAAAAAATGTGACATCCATGGTAGTGTAAAATTTATTGGTGATTGAATAGTAGCATTTATAGCCTTTCTGAGTAGAAGAGTAACCAAAGAAGACACACTTTCTGGCTTTTGGCTCCAATTTATGACGTTCATGATCATAAACATGAGTGAATGCAGTACATCCAAATGTTTTAAGGGGGATTGTGAGGACATATCGGATTTGAGGATAGATAGTGAGTAAGATTTCTAGTGGAGTGTTAAATTTCAAAATACGAGAAGACATCCGATTAATGAGATAACAAGCAGTAAGGACAGCATCACCCTAAAAACGGTTAGGAACGGTGAACATGAGAGCACGGACAGTTTCTAAAAGATGTCTATTTTTCCTTTCAGCTATATCTTTTTGTTGGGGGGTAATGACACATGAACTTTGGTGAATGATTCCATTTTGAGACAGGAAAGTACCCAATGTTTGATTAAAATATTTTGTCCCCTTATCTGTGCGAAGAATTTTGATTCTCGTATTAAATTGAATAAATGAGATAATGAAGCTGTTGAAAGATTGATGCAGTTTATGATTTTTCTTTAAGTAAATAGACCCAACAAACCCTAGTGTGGTCATCGGTGAAGGTAAGGAACCAACGTTTACTGGACATAGTTTTGATGCGAGACGGTCGCCATAAATCACTATGAATCATTGTGAATGGACTGGGTGATATATACTCAACAGAAGAATAAGATGTACGTGAGTGTTTTGCAAGTTGACACACTTCGCAAGTAAAAAGGTCATCTTTATGTAAAAGTGAAGGATACAAACGTTTAAGATACTGAAAGCTCGGGTGTACTAAACGTCAATGTAAAAGTAGAATTTGTTGTTCTCTAGAATTTGACTCACCACCAACCTGGAGAACTTGTTTATTTCTTAGACTTGGTTCTCTGAAGTAGTAGAGCCCTTCAAAGCCATTAGCACTGCCAATTGTCGTTCCCGTTATCAAGTCCTAAAACAAACACTTAGAGTCAGTGAACAGGGCCTGACATTTTAAATCATGAGTCAACTTCTGAACAGAAATTAGATTGCAACATAATTTAGGCACATGGAGCACTGAGTGCAATGTAATATTCGGGCTAAGAATAACAAAACCAAAGCCCTTAATAATGGCCGATGACCCATCTACAAGCTTGACATGTGTCTGAATCGAGTTGGGTGAATACATGGTAAACATATCATGAGAAACGGTATATGATCGGTGGCACCCGAATCTAAGATCTACTGATCAGAATTCTGCTGACTTGTTAAAGCTGCACTAAAAATACCTCGTTGTGCCACAAAACTTGACAAAGGAGTAGACTCAACTGGCACTGTTAAGAGGCGATAGAGCTGTTCAAGTTGTGCCTTCGAAAATGGAGGGAAAGAGGTGGTCAAATCTTGGGAGTTTGACACCTAGGGCCCACTTGACAGCCAGAGGAGCTGGTTTGAGAATGTGGAGGATTTGTAGTTGGAGGTGTCGTGGATGTGCTTGGAGGGAGAGAAATTGAGGTCGTATTCGATTCTTCAGAACTCTCATCCTTGCGCACATCAGTCATCATGGCTGTTTTAACCATTCTGGTGTCAATCTAAACTTAGCTCTAATACCATAAAAACTAAGGATAGAGACACCAGAGAAACATACACGAGAAAAGAGAGAAGAAATAAATTCTTTATTTCTCAAATTGATTGATTAAAGATGGGGAATAGAGACACTATATATAGGTTACAAGAAGAAACAAAATCTAGGAATAACCTCCTAACTTCCCTAACAAAAAATGAGATTTATTTACTAAATTTAAACACAAAATCTAAACAACTTCTAACTAAGTCCACATAATCTAAACTCCTAACTAATTCAATGGAACCCTATCCGCAAAACATTGATTGAATACCTCATTCGTTTATTTAATTTCTCCCCTGCAAAGAGAATATAAAAGTCTATTTTCTTCTATAACTTTGTTATGCCTCTTCTTTGGCAAGCTTTTCTTATTTGAAGGAGTTTCCTATCTTTTTTCATTGAAGGCGTTAATTAAGTTCGAGCTCATTTTTACACCTGAATCTGAAAGGAAGACCCTTGGTTGCCACCGATTTAAATTTTCGCCTGGAATAGGAAAATGGAAAGGGCATAATAAATTTTTCTTGGAGGCAGACCATTTAGGAAGAATTTTGGAGGAGATCCTCGTGAAAAATGACCAAAAGAGTCTTTTGGAATTTCATCTAGAGGATCCACATGACCTACAACTGGAATATCATTATTATTGCTGCTGGAGGAGACAAAAATCGAGGACACAACTGGAATATCTCTTGAATGGCTTTTTCTTGGTTCACGATCTGTACCCTCCTTATTATTGCTATCCACCTGTAATTCTTCCATTTCCTTCTCTATAACTTATTGGATTCCAGAAGCATCAACCTTGTTCATTAATGTTTTACTCTCTACCAGATGTACCTCGTGGAAGCCAAACTCATGCAAAGGCTCATTATTTAATTCACCTGCTTCTACCCTCACACATTTGGAGTTCCTTCATCTTCCTTCCTAATGTCAGCATCCACAACTACTTCATTAATCATACCATCCCTTGTTTTTAGCCTTTGCCATAGGAGAATGAATGACCTTTCATCTTCTAAAACTTGCTGGAATCTCTTAACGTCAATCTTATTTGCACAAGAACTTATGTCCAGATTCAAAGATATTTTTTGAGGAATCAAACCGAGGACCTGCCCACCATCAATTGGAATAAATGAAGTCCCCAACTTAGGATATTGAATTTCAACAGTGGCTGGAAGAAACACACAAAAATAGCTGGTTCTATTTTTGGTAACAATAGTTCCCATATCGATGTGCATTTAGTTGCATAAGGATGAAAATAGATTATTCTATTAACTACTTTCTTCATTTTTCTCATTAACGTGAATGAGTTTTTCTCATTAATATGAATGATTGTATTCTTCTGTAACTTAACAGGAGGCACAGGGAGTTCAAGTTGGGGGATTTCATCTATTTTTGGTAGCAGTAGCAGTGATAACCGTGCTTCTGCTAAAGAAATTTCACCTAAAAAATCATTTGATGAGCCTACCCATAGTATGGAGCAATCAGTGATCCAGTTAAGAGAGGTTAGTATATTTTCATGGATTTTCATCTGGCCACCCTGCATAAGTTAACCTTGCTAACATGTTTCATATTATTTTAGCCACCAACTGTCTTGAGGCCCTCAGAAAGTCATACGGAGCAGGAGGCTAATGAAATTGCTATAACTAAACTACTATTAAGATCATACTATGACATTGTTAGGAATAAAATAGAGGACTCTGTACCTAAAGCCATCATGCACTTTCTGGTAAGTTTAAATCTTTATTAATACTGCCAGTTCCTATCATATTTTCTCTTCAATTAAATACTGGAAGCCATGAGATTCTCAAAAACCAAAGTGCTTGCTTTCTTGGTATGAATTCATTAAGGCCCCATTTATTTATTAGGAATCGTAATGGGAATGAATCGTAATGAAAATCAGTCAGAATGGGAATGTTATTTTGTTGATGATATTTACCAGAAATTTTTTGGAATTAGAATCAGAATTCCTTTGATGTTATTTATTAAAATTGTCTAGAATTGGAATTCGGAACTAGATATATAACAATTACTAATATATCTTTTTATTCTTTCTAAATTCTAATTAATTACAAATACATTATTGTGCTAATCGTTAATCTGAGTTACTCCGATCATCTCCCTTGTTTGCTTGTTCTTCTGCATCGAAGATTTGCCCAGTTGCAATATTGACGAGGTCTGGTCACCGATGATCTCACCCATGAATCCTTCCAACATCATTTGGATTCTAGCGCTCATCTTCTGCTGCTCGTCTACCTTCTCGGACAAGGTCGCTATGATTTCCTTCTTCGTTACTTTGCACCTCGTTTCCAGCTCCTGCACCATCATC